CCTTTGTAATTCTTTTGAAGGAGTTTTAATGTTTTTTTGAGGATACCCACTTATGGACCCAAAAACTGAATCCTGCTGTTTCTCTAGAAAAGCAGTTCTGTAAGTGAGATCTGTGGACCCCTTAGAGGGTGTCTGGGACCCTTTCAGGGGTTCTGAGAAGTTAAAATTATTTTCATAATAATAGTAACAATATTGCCTTTTACTCATATTCTTTTTTATTTAAAGTTTCTGTTTTTATTTTTTATTGTTAATGTTTTTAATTTATGGAATAAATAAGCATTTTCATAGCATAGTATAGTAAAAAAGGTGATTGTACATGAAACTGCAAACCTACTGTGCACAACTTGCTATTCTTTTCAAATATACAGCAAAATTATCATGTAATTTTTTTCTTCCCTCCCCCTCCCTAGAGATGGGTACCATCACACACACACACACACACACACACACACAGAGTCTATATATACTTCTGTTTAATCAATTCATTCTCTGGGTGCAGATAGTGTCTTTTTTCATACATCCTTTATAATTAATTTGGGTATTTATAATAGACAAGAAAACTTATTTGCTCAAAGTTGTTCTTAAAACAATATTGCTGTTAATATATACAGTGTTCTCTTGGTTCTGCTCATTTTGCTCTTCATTATTTTATGCAAGTCTTTCCATGTTTTTCTAAAATAGTTGAGCTCATCATTTCTTATAGCACAGTAGTATTATATCCCAATCATATACCACAACTTGTTCAGCTATTCCCCAGTTGGGCATCCCTACAATTTCCAGTTTTCTACCACCACAAAGATAGCTGCTATAAAGGTTTTAAAACATATAATTTCTTTTCCTTTTTCCCTAATCATCTTTGGGAATAGACCAAGTAGTGGTATTTCTGGGCCAACGAGTATAGGTAATTTAATAACTCTTTGGGCATAATGCCAGATTTCTCTTCAAAATGGTTGGATCATTTTACAATTCTACAAACAGTGAGTTAGTGTCCCAATTTCTCCACATCCTCTCCAACATTTGTCACTTTTTCCTTCTATCAATCTGGTAGGTATACAATGATATCTCAAGGTTGTTGTAATCTGCATTTCTCTCATATGACTATAAATTGTTTACATTTATTCACTGGAAAACTAGTTCTTCATATTCTTTGACCGTTTATCAATTGGGGAATGACTTGTATTCTCTCTAGAAGTTCATATTCTTTTATGAGTTTCAGAGTTTTATGAGTTTCAAAAGAATTTCAGAGACTCCATGACCTGTGAATTAAAGAATTATTTTAAAAAATGGACACTGAGTTAATAGCTCATCTGCCAAATTGCATTTTTTCCTTACAAATGGACAAATCTGCATATTTGACTAGACTTGCTGTTTTGTTTAATATTTGTCTTTTATCAGCACCAATTAATCATAGAAGATCTTTTATGTAAATGGATGGCAGTAAACACAAATGGTGCTAAAATATCCAAAGTGTTGAATAACTGTTTTGAATCTGATAGTTTATTCCTTTACAATTATGTTGACAGTTGCATCAATGGTACAAGAGCAATGGTGGGTAAAACTGCTGGTGTGTAGCATGAATCAGGACCGTGGCTCCACAGTGTGCTGCTAGTCACCAATGTACTCACAATCAAAATAATGCCAGTTTCACTTACAAATATCCTTGATGAAGCAATAAAAAATATTAATTTTATTGAATCTTGATTCTATGTGACAAAATGGCAAGTAAACACAAAGCATTTGTGCTGTATACAGAAGTATGGTGGTTGTCTCCAGGAAAAGCCCTGGGAGAATTGTTGGAGTTATGAACTAAACAAGTCACTGTTTTCATAAAACACCATATTTACTTGAAAGACTGACAAAGTAGGACTATTCAGGCTTGGGTATTTGCAGGCGTTTTCTTGAAATGAAGAGAGTCTATCACTTCGTGGAAAACAGCTGATAATATTTATTTCTAATTATAAAATTCAGGCTTTCAAGTGAAAATTAGAATTTTTGAATTTGTGTTTGCCACCATGAGTTTGACAGCCTCTCCGTACTTAACAGCTTTTCTGATAAGACTGGTGGTGATATTAACACTTTTGTTGTTGTTGTTGTATATGAAATGTATAAACATTTGGAATATCTGCATAATTCAGTGAACCAGTATTTTCCAGATGGCCAATACATGATATTACAAAAGCATATAACAGTTTGAAAAGTCATTGCTTTGGTTTCAGATTTCACTTTGAAACTAATCATTAAGAAGCTACCATTTGTTGAGTTTTGGTGGAGTTATCAAAGAAGAATAACCACAATTATCTGAAAAAGCTCTTAAGATACTCATCCATTTCCCAACTACATATATCTATGTAAGGCCTGATTATTTCACATACTTCAACCAAAATAACATGTCAGAACCTATTGAAGGGGCAGCTAGATGGCACAGTGGGTAGAGCACCAGCCCTGGAGTCAGGAGGACCTTAGTTCAAATCTAGCCTCAGGCACATAACACTCACTAGCTGTGTGACTCTGGGCAAGTCACTTAACCCCAATTGCCTCACTAAAAAAAACCCAAAAACAAAACCTCTATTGAATACAGAAGCAAATATGAGAATTTAATTGTCTTCTGTTAAGCCAGACATTAAAGATATTTGCTTAAATGCAAAGCTTTACTGCTTTTCTCACTAAATTTTTTTGTTTTGAAAATATAGCTAATTTCAATAAAAATATGTTATTTATATATGTAATGAGTTATACATGTAATGGGTTATTTTAAATGATTAAAAATGTAATGTATGAGTTTTCATTTTTAATATAATAAATATTGACAGCTATAACCCACCCAAATAAAAACTCTTTGGGGGTCATCAGGATTATTTTTTGGATTGTAAAGACCAAAAGTTTGAGAACGTGTGCTCTAGAGTATGCATAGCACTTGTGTCAGTGCTTATGTCAGCCCCTTATAATTAAGCTTCTAGGCAAATTACTTGTTTAGGCAGAAAGAGTGAAGAAGGAGATGGAAAAATCATTCCGTTCTGCTCTTCTGCCCAAAACAAGGGGCTTAATTTCCAGTTCCTATTTTAGTGTAGAGATGGAGGTGGTTTGAGATAACAGTCTAAGTAAAGTACTGAATTAGGAATACCATATTTGGGTTCCTTGACTACATTTCTAGCCAATAGTGATGACTCTCTTCTCTGAATTCCTACAGCACTTTACTGTCTGTAATAATCATTTTGTAAATTGTGTAATATTCTGAACATTTAATTGTTTCATCTGAATGTCGAGTGTTCATAAATGCAGACTCTTTTGGATCTGTCACTAAATTTTTCTGTCTCCTTGGGCAAATTTATCTTCTGACCTCAACCCTACTTATAAAGTAGAATTGTAATCTCAGTCACTTCGTAGTAACATTTGGATGACAAACATGAAAAAAGCTCATTTAGGTCATAGATTTAGAGCTGTAAGCCCTTAAAGTTCATGAATTTCAAACCATTCTTCTTGCAGATGAGAAAACTGAGGCCTACAGAGGTTAAATGACTTGCCCAGGGTCACTCCAAAATTTGAAACCTATATCCTACATCTTTAAATTGAGTGCTCTGTCCACTATACCTCTCTGTCTACTTTTCGCAGTGTGTTAGTAAGATGAGATAAGAATATAATTGATTGAGAAGGCAGTGGACCTCAGTTTGAATCCAGAGTAGCTCTGCCATTTACTATCTAGATAAGCTAGTCAAGTACCTTACTTACCAATTTCTTTTAAAAATTTAAAAATGAAGAAGCCATATTAGATGTCCACTGAAAACTATTCATGCTCTAAATCTTCTGTGGACTAACATATAGCATGTAAATTAGGATACTAATTTTGTTATTGTCACTGGGATTCAAAGTTGAGCATGTTCTTAATGTGATGGATACAAGAGGATGCAAAGGTAAGGGCTTTTTTTTTTCTTTAAAGAGGTGGTAATCCTTTGAGAGGGTTAATTCCTTATCATTAAGATTAACATAGATGAGGCCTTTGGTCTGGCATCGTTGATATCCTGTGATAGAATGTGAACTTGCTTTGCCGTTGGTACTTTTTGGCATTTTACATTTGAGAATGATTGATTCGTGAATAATTGCTTATACCTGAGCTGTGCCTTTGTACTTGACCTTTGAGAGGAAAAGTAGAAAGCTGGAAACAGACGAAGAAAACTGGAGATATTGAGAGGGAGAGAGAAGGCAGTTTTCTGGATCAAAGGGTCACTTGGGTTTCATCGGGGAACCAGGTGCTTCAGGAAACCCTGCCGTTCCAGAGATGGCAGAGCTGAGGAGTAAGAAGTATTTTGGTCCATGTTTTGAGGTAGAAGAATGCAAGTTATTCACCATGTGTGGTAGTTAAAAAAAAGGAAAAAAAGTGATTTGTAAGGAGCTTTCAAGGTTAAACCTGGTCTTTGTGAAATTCCCAGAGCCTTTGGTTTGGGCCTTGGGTTATTTGCCCTGCTGTAGTCACCAGAGGGTTTTTTTTGGTTGTTATTGTTCTTGATCACTCATAGTTGAATCATCCCAGTTATCCAGATCCTTGTATCTCTGCTTTGTTTTGAGAGCTTGGTGCTGCCGAAGAGGAAAAAGCATATGGGAAAATGCACCCATGTACTTATCCTTATGGCTGGTGGTAAGTGTCTTTTGGGAATATGTGCTAGTTTAATTAAGTTATGTTACTGGTAATCTGTCAATGGATTATTTTTGTATTATTGGTAGAATTCAGTGACAGGAATCTCAGACCTAGAGAATAATGAAGTTAATGGTTAAGGAAGGTGGCAGTTAAACAATTCCATTATGGCTTGGCATTTGTCTCCTTGTTGAGTGAACTATTTGTAACTTTTATACCATAAATTGCTATAGTTAATTGCTTCTGTCCTTTGTCTTCAGCATTAGAAAAAGAACAGATTTGACTAAAGACTATTGATAAATCTTTTTTTTCTTGCTAACTGCCTTTAAATTTGGTCTCTGACTTCATGCTTTGATTTTTGTCTTTACTACAGCATCTGGAGAGGACCCAATGTGAATTGTGTCGATAGCACCGGTTATACCCCTCTGCACCATGCAGCTCTGAATGGCCACAAGTAAGTATTAATCATATTTACATTGCTTTCACAGTCTCCAGAGCCCTAATCCTTTAACAGGGAAGAGTAAGGAAGTGAAGCTTAATTAAATCCATCTAAAACCCAAAAATCTCATTTTAGTCAAATTCTAAATTTTTTCTTTCAGGAACCTTTAGCCAGTGGTCTTAACGGATGGAGATGTTTAATTTTGCATATTATAGTAGAAAGCATTTTGGCATCGGAGTCAGAAACCCTGGATTCAAATCTTGCTCCTGTTGTTTACTATCTGGCATGCCTTTAGGCAGATCACCCACCTCCTTGGGCCTTAGCTACCTCATCTAGAAGAGTGAGGACCTCCAAAGACCCCTCCATCTGTATATCTATGATCTTACGTGTGTAGCAGAATACTATCTCCTCATCTCTCTGAAAAAAAAAATTTATTTTTACTTGGTTTCTTTGTCCGTTTTCCCATCATTCTGCATGGCAATAGGTTTCCTGTAACATTCCTTCCACATAGAGACTATTCTGAACCTTTTACTCTCACTCTTTAGTTTTCACTCTTCCTCACTCTTTCTCATCAATTGCCACATCCTAGTGATTCTCCTACAACATCTCTTACATCTTCCCCCTTTTCTCTACGCATACCACAGCTACCTTCCTTCAGATCTTCATCCTCTCTTGCCTAGGTTATTACAACAGCTTCCTAATTGGTCTCCCTTTTTCCAGTCTCCATCTCCCATCCGTACCCCATACAGCTGACAAAATAAAATTCCTGAAACACAAGTTTGAGTATGTACCTTTTATGCAAAAAATTCCAGTGGCTCCCTCTTGCCTCTGTGTTCAAAATACAGACCCTTCTATCCCTTTTTAAGCCCTTTCCAGGATGGTTATATGTTATTCCTCTTCATGTGACTGGCATGTCTCATATGCAACATTCCATCTCTCATCATCATGCCTTTGCATGGGCAGTCCCTCATTCCTGGAAGATGCTTACCCCTCATGTCTGCGACTTAGAATCCCTGATCTCTTTTGAAACAAACTTCAAGCACCATTTCATGGGTGAAGCCTTTCTTGATCAACCCCCCTCCTTAATTTAGTTACTTTGTACACAAGTCATATCTGACTATAGGGATACATTTTCTCTGATAGAATGTAACCCTTTTATAAGCAGGTACCATTTCCTTTTTTTCTTTGTATTCCCAGCACCTAATGCTTGGCAAACAGGCACTTAATAAATATTTGTTGATTGATTAATACTCTTTCTTTAAACCCCCAACCTCATCCCACCCACTTTGGTTCAGCAATCATTCAGTCACCCAAGACTTGTTTGTTTGCTGTGCTAGGCATTGGATGCATGAACTTCTTTGTACCTCAACTGTACCTCTTTGAGGTACAAAGCTTTTCAGCATTTTTCCCTCTTCGTTTTCTTTCTTCTCTCCTGTCATAAGAAAAGTCTTCCCTGTTCTTTGGTAAGGAATCCTTCTACCAACTCCAAGGGGGAGGTGGAGCCAAGATGTCAGAGTAGCAGAAAGTATAGCAGTGAGCTCCTTTCTGCAAAACTTCAAATACACCTAAAAATGCACTAGACCAAATCTTGTTGGGGGGAGTCCAAGAAGAAGTCACATTGAGTCATTTTTCTGACCTAAGCCAGTGGCTTAGGGAATCTTAAAGGATTGCAGTCACTAGGGGGAGCATTTAGCCAGGAGCTCTTCATTGCAGGGAGAAGCTGTGTACCAGGGCATATTGTTGTCTCAGACCTATCCTGGGACACCTTGATGGGGATGGGTGCCAATAGACAGCTTTATTGCCCACTACTTACATATGAGTCATAGATCAAGGGTAGACTGAGGAGGAGACTGGCTGCCGTGCCCTCTTCCTCCCACAGTTCAGGTTCTGGGTTGTAAACTGAGAAGAGAGCAGATTCAGAAGCAGTAGTAGGCAGTGTGACATATCCAGGAAGCAGAGCAGGGTCTCAGTTCCAGCCCAGTCTGAAGCCTGCAGAGAAATAACTAGCCAGTAATTCCAGATGAGAGGGGAGCCTACAACTGTGTCACTCTGAACCAGCATCCATCCTAGCTGGTTGATAGCAGCCGAGTCCAACAGCAGCCTACTGTTGCTCAGACCCAAACCCAGGTTAGGAACTTTGAGAGTTTGGACAGGACGACAGAGTCAGATTTTGCTCTGGATCTGCTGCTTTGGAAACACTGAAAGCTTGCAGGTCTATAGCCTGAGCTGTCCCTGAGATGGTGAAACAACACAATACTTAGTAACCCAAAGGAAGTAGCATCAGCAACATACTACACCTTCGCTCTAGAAATGGGCAGTCCTTAGCCCTAACACTAAGCATAGTATCAGGAAATAGACTGGAATAATGATTTAAAAAAAAAAAAGAATTCCACCATAAGAAGTGGTGAGGAAGACAGACACTCAAGTCAAAAACTCAGGAGAAGAGAATGACTCCAAAGCATCTATAAGAAAAGCTTTAAAGAAAAAACACAGTTTGGGCACAGATACAAACAGAATTCCAGATTAAGATGAACAAAGAGTTAAAAGAGTTTAAAAAAGTTTTTGTCAGTGAGAGCACTAGAGAGGGAAAAAATGGAAAAGAAATGAGAAATATGAAAGAAAGAATTAGAAAGGGAATTATCATCTTTGCACAAACGATACAAATCCCTGCCCAAGCAACAAACTCCTGAAAATTAGAATGGGCCAAATGGACCAGTGACAAAAGCCAAAAGACTGGAAAAAAATGGAAGTGTAAGGTGTGTCATAGCAAAATTGACTGACCTGGAAAACAGATCGAGGAGAAATCATTTCGTAATCCTCAGACTACCTGAACATCCTCATCAGGAAAAGAAATGTCAAGAAATCTTAAAAGAAAACTGCCTACATCTCTTAGAAACAGAGGGCAAAGTAGAAATAATCCATTGGTTACTTTTTAAAAGAAACTCCCAGATGAAAACTTTCAGCCAAAATTCAGAGCTTTTAAGTTAAAGGAAAAATATTGCAAGCAACCAGAAAGAAATAATTCAAGTCCTGAGGAGCCACAGTTGAGGCTCATAAACAATTTATGGCCATCAGTCTAAAGGAGCAGAGAGCTTGGAGTACAATATCCTAGAAGGCAAAGGATATAGACTTATAATCAAGAATAATTTACCCAGCAAAACTGAGTATAATGTTACAGGGGGAAAATGGATCTTCAATGAAATAGAAGACTTTCAAGTATTCCTGACAGAAAAGACTGAAGTTCAAATACAGGAATGAAGAGAAACATTAAAAGGTAAACATGATTGAACAACGTTAGAAGAGTAAACAAGTATAAACTGCTTACATTCAAATATGGGAGATGATACATGTTCCCATTGAACTTTATCAGGGTTCATACAAGGAGTCGAATTAAACAGAAATCCTGGGAGTGTTTCTGTTAATGATCTTAAGAGAACAGTGAAAAGAAAGGGGAGGGAGGAGAGTTAGTGAAAATGATCTGGTCTCAAGGGTACAGAAACAGATATCTATACAATTGGGAGTGGGGGGCGTATCTGACTCTTGAATCTCACTCTCATCTGTGTATACAGAGTTGGGTACATAAATACAGGATGGAAAGAGGAGAAATGGGAAAGAGGTAAGGGGGAGAGAAGATTAAAGGAGGGATTAATCCTAAGCAAAATGGACTTTTAAGGGTGTACAAAAATATTTATAACTCTTTTTGATGTGATAAAGGATGGGATTCTGAGGGGCTGCGCGTTAATTAGGGAATAGTTGAGCAAGTTGTGTTTTATTAATGTGATGGAATTAAATTGTACAGTAGGAAATGAAGGAGATGTTTTGAGAAAGACTTGAGAAGACATGTGAACTGATGCAAAGTGAAGTGAACAAAACCAGGAGCACGTTTATACAATGAAAACAATATTGTAAAGACAGGGAAGGATTTAGGAATTCTGATCATTGTTAATCACCAGCCATGATTACAGAGTAGGACTAATGAAGAAACATGCTACCCACCTCCTGATAGAGAAGTGAAGAACTCAGAGCACAGAATGAGACAACATAATTTTTTTGGACATGACCATTCTGGAAATTTTTTTGCTTGATTTTTGTACATGTTTTTAGTTACCTGTAATTACATGTTTGTAATTGAAGTTTTGTTTTTCTTTCAGTCTCACTTGGGGGAGGGAAGAGAGAAGATGGATTTTTGCTGATTAAAAGTGTATGTGTGTGTGTGTGTGTGTGTGTGTGTGTGTGTGTGTGTGTGTGTGTGAGAGAGAGAGAGAGAGAGAGAAGAGAGAGAGAGAGAAAGAGAGAGAGAGAGAGAGAGTGTGTGTGTACATTTTCAGTCAGCAGATATTGCTCAGATATTCTTAGTAGAAGAAAGATTTTCCTTTGATTTATCCCCTGAAGGTATTTTCATCTCTGTAAGTCCTTTTGCCAGCAAAGTTTTTAGGAAAAATAGTTTATAATACCCAATGCATTCATTTCTTTACCATCTACTTAATCCTTAACTCCTTCATAATCTGGCCTCTCTTCTCTACCACTCTGTACTGAAACTGGATTCCTAAAGGTGACCAAATCTAATAACTTTTTCTTAGTTCTCATCTTTTTTTCACATCTCTGTGGCACATGACACAGTAGATCATTGATTCTCAAACTTTTTGTTCTCAAGACCCCTCTTAAAAATTATGGAGACATCCTCTCCCCGAGCTTTTATATTTATCTGTTGTTCTTTACTCAATCACAGATTTTTAATGTCTTAGTACTTTTATGAAAATAAAGGATCTCAGGGATCCTCAGAAGTTCCTGGAATACACTTTGAGAATTGCTGCTGTAAATGCTTTCTCTTTTAGCTTGTCTTCCAGGTTATTTTCTTACCTCTAATTGTAGTTTTTCTGTCTCCTTTACTGCTTCCTGTTTCCAACTCTTACTGTTAGTGTTCTTCAAGATTCTGTGAGGGGCAGCTAGGTGGCGCAGTGGATGGAGAACCGGTCCTGAAGTCAGGAGGACCTGAGTTCATATCCGATCTCAGACCAAACACACTTGGCATGTACTAGCTGTGTGACCCTGGGCAAGTCACTTAACCCCAATTGCCTAAAAACAAAAACAAAAAAGATTCTGTCATTGGCTTTCTTATCTCTTTATACTCCCTTGGAAGTTTTATTTACATGCACAGTTTAACTGCCTATACAGAAAATCTCAATTTGCAATACTGACTTTTTTCCTGAACTTCTCCAGTCCCATGTCCACAGCTCTCTATTGGGCATCTCTGCTGTTAGGTCCTGTCAGCACATCAACTGTGACATGTGTAATACTGAATTCTCCTTTCCCCACAATTTCCCCACTTCTTCTATCATGGATCTATCATTTAATCATGTTCGATACCTCACTGCTACCTTTGTCTTATTCCTCATCTGACACATCAAATTTATTTCCAGGCCTTGTTGATTTTACCTTTATAATATCTCTGGCATATGGCATTCCTTTAGATTTCCCTTGTTGCCATCTCAGTATTTACAGCACCCTCATATAGGACCTCTTTACTATTTGCTTTGACTATTTGAATAGATGCTTATTTGATCCTAGTACTTCTGTTCTTTCTTCTCTCTCTGTCACCCAGTCCCTACCCTCTATTTTTTTTTGGGGGGGGTGAGGCAATTGGGGTTAAGTGACTTGCCCAGGGTCACACAGCTAGTGAGTATCATGTGTCTCAGGTCCTTCTGACTCCAGGGCGGGTGTTCTATCCACTGTGCCACCTACTTGCCCCTCTACCCTCTATTCTTCATACTGCCACCAGATGAATCTTCCTTATGCATAGATTTGATCACCATCTTCTTTTGTCCAAATCTATAACTGGGGAAGAATGAGAGGGGCTTTCCCCAAAGTCAGGACTTTTAGAAAGCAAATATATTTAATATATGTACATCTTCAGCACTATAGGAGGTGAGGATAACCATGGAGGAGTTGAGAAGAGAATTAGGCTTCACATTACTGTGTAGTTGGTAGCCTATTCCCTCTATCCCCATCTTCCCCGATTCTGTAAAGGAGAATCTCCAATCTTCCTGGTCCTTTCCCTTTCCTTTCCCCCTGTCCTTTCTAGGGGAAATAGCCTCTCTCCCTATTTTCTCTTAGCAAGCAAAAACACTTTACCTCCAAGAAGGGTAAATAATAATCTTAGACCTCCTTTCTTTTTCACACAGTGTGGGAGGGAACCTAAGTGAAGTCCTTGCTAAAATAGAAGCAGACAGACTCCAGATACTGTGGGTGGGCTAGACTTCTAGAGTCCTTTTCAACTCTGAAATTCTATTCCTGAAGTTACTATAGTAATGAGTCTTCTCTCTGTCATTCTACTGAATTTATTTGAAATACTTCTCAAATTATTTTCATGTCATGAATAACAAAGTTGATTTGAAGGAGCATTCCCTGCCCCCCCTTTTATTTTTTCCCCAACTTACCTTAGTTGGTGCTGCTTGCTCAGTTATCCCAGGTGACTTTGTCTACTCCAGATCTGTCAGTATACCCTAAAGTCTAAGCTCCTTAGCTTAATTGTCAAGTTTCTTCGCCATCAGGCACTAAATTGTCTTTTTAACCCGATTTCATCCTGTCCCATACTTTGCACTCTATGCTGTAGCCAAATTGGACTCTTTTTGTCCCTTACACACATCATCTGCTTTTCCATGCTTTGAATGTGTTTGTGCCTTTTCTCATGTTATTTTCTACATCTGAAATCAGTCATATTTATATAGTTTATAAAGCATTTTTCCTCAAAAAAAATTCTCTGGGAGGCATGTACTATGAGTAATGTTATTCCCAGTATGTAGATAAGGAAAATGAGGTTGAAAGAGGTTAAGTGATTTCCAGCTTGTGAATCCTGGAACTGTGTCCTGAACTCAGAATTTCTTATTGTAAGACCTGTGTTCTTTTCTGCTATAGTACATTCCTTTCTCCCTGCCCAATTTCCTCCTATCTATACCTTTTTATCTCTCAAGACTCTGCTTCAGGAGGAGAATATTTTAGGCAGTTATGGGAATGGATTATGACTTTGAAAAGGGAGCAAGAAAATCTTGTATGGAGGATAATGGGTAACTTTTCTCTACTAAGATGTATAAATAATGTAATAGGAAATGAAGGCATTTAAATAATGGTGGTAATCAAATTAGTATAGAGCCTTGGAGCACATGATTTAAAAAAATTAGATTTTATGAACTGTGAATATTTTTGCGTGTACTTTGTTAGAGTTTTGTTTGTAATCCCTCCCTTAACTCACCATCCCTCTAATATCCCCTTCTTTTTTCCACTTCCCTTCCTCTTTCACTGTTAAATGAAATGTACTTCTGTACCCAACTCTGTGTGTGTGTGTGTGTATATGTATGTAATGTATGTATGTATGTATGTATGTATGTATGTATGTATTCTTCCCTCCTTTGACCAGTTTGAATGAGAGTGAGGTTCAAGCATTGGCTACTCCTCCCAATCCTTTTTCACATAGATTTTCTACTTGTTCATCCTGATTATATGAGGTAATTTCCCCTAACTTTCCTTTCCTCACCCTAGTGTGTTACTCTTCCTCTCTCTTTCCATTCTTTTTTTTTTTAAACCAAGATATAACAGAACCACTTCTGGGCCTTTTGTCTAATTAGACTCTCTGGCCCCCAAAGGGATGAGAGAGGACACAGGTATCATCTCTCCATATTAGAACATAAATAGTTCATCCTTGTTTAGTCCCTTAGGATTGTTCATTACTGTCATGCTTTGTGTTAATATTGGTGGTTTTTATTCACCGTGGAGATTTTCTCTGATTTAGTGTATGTGGTGGATAATTATGCACTTGTATTTACTTAATTAATAGTGTCACCAAGAAGAAAGCTAACTTCCCCTTTCCAAAGTACTCAAATTATACCATATGTGTTTGGTTTATATTTGAATTAACTTCTACTCCCATCTATCCTTCTGCAGTCAACACGAAAGGATAATTCCCTTGAATAATGTATTAAATTGTACCAGGGGTTTTTGCATCACTATATTTCCATAAATTCTATTCCAGAATGCTATTAAAGCATCCAGGCAAGGGTGATTTCAAGGTATAGATAAGGAAGCCTGACATTTTCACATGAATAGAAATGAAATAGTGTCAAAGAGGCCAAGATAATTGGGAAGAGTGATTCAGACAACATGGCTCCAGAAAGTTAGACTCTCCTGTCAATATCTGTGTAAATAGTTTGCTTGAGAGAAAGAGGGCTGAAGGAGATTGGCTCAACTAAAGATTGGGAACCCAGGAAAGAGAGTTTTGAATTATGCAAGCTCATCAGGTGTTGTTGCCTTCCAGGGACGTGGTGGAGGTTCTTCTAAGGAATGATGCATTGACCAATGTGGCTGACTGTAAAGGCTGTTACCCTCTTCACCTGGCAGCCTGGAAGGGGGATGCTCAGATAGTTCGATTACTCATCCACCAAGGACCCTCCCACACCAAAGTCAATGAACAGGTCGGAAGAAGACTTTTCATGTAATCTGACTATAGGAGAATGTGGTGGGAGGGGATGTTTTATTTCTATAACCGCAGTCTTGGTTTATTCTTCTTGGACACAATGCTACTTCCTGTTGGTAAATCTCATTATCCTTGCACATTGTAGTTATGTGGGCATATGTGTAGACTGTGAGGAAGGAGTATGCTTCTGGCATGTAGATTGAAAGGCTTTATCTTTTTGACAGCTCCTCTTTCTATGCCTACTCTTCTTGCCAGAGCTGAAGAAATCCTTTTCTCTATTTCATAATACTGTTTGAAAGAGGAAATTATGGCTCTTGGTTGTTGAGAATGTAAATAAAACTACATCCATTTACTATAATACCTTCACCCCCATTTTCCTAAGTCCCTCAGCTGAGTAAGTAACTGTTGGTCTGTAGCATTTAAGTTGATATTGTTCCTCACAAATAAGCCACCCAAACTGAGAGAGGTCTCATCCTCGTGGAGGAACAAACATACAAGGTATCGTCTTCCAGCAGTGGCCTTACAGGGTTGTGCTAAGCTGTTAGAGGTGTGGCATAATTTATAAGAAGGAATCTTAGCCCTTAGGCACGAGAAAATTAAGACAGAAGAGCTTTCAGTTTGCATTATATTGAAATAATAATGACTAACATTTATATAGCACTTTAAGGTTTGCAAAGCACTTGACATGTTCATTTTGATCGTTACAACAATCATGTAGGTACTGTTATGATCTACCATTTTACAAATGAGAAACTGAGGCTGAGAGAGGTTGTGTGACTTGTTCAGAGTCACATGGCTAGTAAGTGTCTCAGGCAGGATTTGAATTCAGATTTTCTTGACTCCGAGTCCAGCACTATCTACTGGGTCATCTAGCTGCTTCCTTGGTGCTTATATATGGCTGTTAGCCAGTTTTCCATTCACTTTGAGATTATAGTGTCTAGGTGTGGGTCATCAAAATTTGATTAATCCTTACTTTCTTTTTTAACATTTAAGGGATAACTACTATTAACAAAGTATAAGTTTTATTATATTGTTTTAGTCCCAGTGGCTGATTGTTAATTCTCTTTTGCCAAAGGGCACAGAGGAGGAAGTTTATTTTTAATTGTTCTTCCTCAGTTTTTAAATGGCTACACAAATAATATCTCTTATTTAAGAAATGTTCATAACTTTTCAATCCTTTCTGTCCTAATTTTTACCTTGGAACTTGGATCCTGGTAAAGCTAAGTAATTGAGTTTGAAACCCTGATCTATGTCACAGCTTTATCCTACTTTGATCATCCATGGTAGGTAGAGATAGGGGGGTGGGGGTAGGGAATAGTTTGTGAGAATGGGATTCCAGTTCAATGTTATGAAAATCTGTCTAACAGGTCAGCACTAGAGTAGGGCTGGTATCTTAAGAGAATTGCCCACCATTCCTTGGGGAACGTGATGGATTTTGATAGTCTTTGCAAATGGAAAAAGTCAATTAACTGGTCATTACATTGATTTGTTTAGAAACTATTAATGTGATGGTTTCAGTTGACTGCCTATACAAATGGGGTGATTAGTGGTGACATGAGGTACCATGGAGGTTGGGTTGCTGTGATTTCTTTTCAAGGTACCCTGGTGAATCTGATTTCGCCCTTGGGGCTACACATTACTTTATTGCTGTATTTCATCCATTTTATCATCACATTTTCTTTTCCTCTCCTTTTTGTAGAATGCTCTTGAGATCAAAGAACTCAAAAAGTACGGCCCCTTTGACCCTTATATCAATGCAAAGGTGTGTACTTAGCTGACAGGATTTCTCTGCATCATTGCTCCGAGCTGCACCCAGTCGTGGGTTTCCTCTTGCTCCCACTCTCCTGCTCAGGCAGTTTTCATCATCCCGGTTGATGGCTGCTGTAGTCATGTCTCCTTCTGTTCTGTTTCTGGGGATGGTAAAATGGTTTAAAAAATCCAAATCACCCACTGTAGAGCTGTCAACTATTAAAGAAAAATCTGAACAGCTTAAAATCAATAAAGGTGGGGGGAGTTAGGGCACAGTCTCTTTAATTTGATGCTAGGTTTTAAAAATTGTTGTTAGAAAAATCCATGTACTTCAAGGATAATTAGATAAATTAATATTCTTAATAAGCACAAATAATGGGAGGCTTTTACCTGCTGGAACATTTTCTTCATGTCTTTTTGGGATCTGATTTCCATATTTCTTTCCAATGTGAGGGATGCTTGATCTGTGGCTCATGGTGGGGGTAGGAGAAAAAGGCCATGGGTAGCCTCTTTTGGGACTCTTGCCTGCTTGCTCCCTCAGTCTTGTTTTGTTAAGTGTGTACATTGTGTCTGGCTTTTAAGCCTCAGTCTTCTGTCTCCAGTCTTTGTTTGCTTTTCTTTCTGCTTAGTCATTCTTGACCCACAAAAAAAGCACAAAAATAGATTACAAATCCCCATGAAAATTGAACAGCTGATGACGTGGATCAGAGAAGTTTCTTAAGTTACTCGACGAGGCCATCAGCAGAGAGAAGATCAATGAAAAGGGACACATACCATATTTAATTGAGTTTTATCTGTTGTTGGGCTGGAAGCAAGTAATGAGTCTGTTGATTTATGTTGGGATGTGGTTTTAAGTGTGTCATGCTCAGCTGACTTTACCATTTGGAGTCTCTCTGGCCACCACCATTTTTCCCTTTGAGCCCAAGCTTCCTCAGTCATAGCGACTCTGCTTGACCAGAGATTTTATTTCACACAAGATCTCTTGTGTAGAAGAAATAAACCAAACTCTGGTTGAGTCATAATGTTGCCCATATTAGCTACCTTCTGTTTCTTCTCAGTGAATTTTCTGAAGGGAAAGCAGGTATAAACTAATTTTTACGTTTCAAAGGAGCTGAGAGTAAATTTCATGTTCTCATTTTGTTAAGGAGCTATTCAACATTGATGATCTCTCTCTCCCTCTCCTTCTTGATAGCCATTAAGGATATTGAGATTTTTCCCAACTGATCGCAATGTAATCTAGAGAGACTGTGTCACCAGGATTCTTGGGATATATAGGTTTTTCTTACAGTGACATACCGGGTACAGCTTTGGGAAGACCCTTTTGTCCTTGTATCCTTTTCCATTTTCCATATCTTGTGTTTTAAATATTTTTGAGATCTGGCCTCAAGCTGTGGACAGAAAGTTCATTTCTCAAAAGAATCTGGGAATCTGGTAATTTTCATGATGGAAGTTTTTAAAAATGATACACTTAAAGTGAGAACCACATTCAGAGAACAGAGGTCAGGGATTTAGAAGTATTTCCTTTTTGTGGCTAGTTTAGTTACTAAAGCATACGATCAAAAGGAAGTTTTAAAGAGACACTGTGGTTTTGAAAATACTTTCTCCTGTCACTTAGATTTAGCCTGCATAGCTAAAGAAGGGCCTAATTAATGAAAAAGAATGAGAGTGTGTCCTTAAGTAACACCTTGTTACCAAACTGAAAAAGCAATATAGTTATTAAAAACTGCACTCTGAAAGATGAAAATAATACATATTGGTTTTAGGGTGACAAATTGGAATGGATTCCAATAGCTACACCATAAACAGAACCTTCTTGCACTATGCCTGTGATTGTTTTCAGTGATCTACTTGGGCTGTCTGAGAGTCATTTTGCTAAAATGCATTTTGCTTTTTTGTGTCGCTCAGAGGTGTCAGACATGGAGCCCACATGAGTGAGACCCAAACCTGACCAAAATATAATTCAGAAATAGTTAACAAAATAAATAAAAGTACAGTAAAATGTAGATGCATCACATTTTAAAACTAAGTCAATATGTGGTCCACAGGGATCCTTATGTATGATTTAGTGGCCTCTGTTTCTATTTGAGTTTGACACTGCTGCTCTACATAGTTGCATGTAGAGATGAAGAGTCTAATGTTTTTTTAACACAAATGGAATTTTTATTAACATTAATGTTGTGCTTAGAGCCCTGCCTATTTGCAAATAGCCAGAAGAAACCTTTCAACATTGATAATACCTATGTGAATATAGAACTGTTTTTTAAACAATTCAGTCATACTAGAATATCATAAAATTGCCAGAAGGAGGAACTGTGTTTTAAAGTAGCAGATTATTAAGGTTTGGAAGGGGGGGGCGGAGCCAAGATGGCAGAATGAAAGCAGTGACTTGCATTAGTTCTCCCCCAAACCCCTCCAAATACCTATAAAAAATGGCTCTAAACAAATCTAAAGCAGCAGAACCCACAAAAAGACAGAATGAAACAAATTTCCAGCACAAGACAACATGAATGGTTGATCTGAAAGGTATATCGCACCATGCTGGGAGTGGAGCGCAGTGCGGTATGGGCGTGCAGGCTGCAGCAAACCTGGAGCAGGCCTCAGAGGACTGAATCGCAGGCAGCTGTGGCAGCTTCCAGACTTCTCCACCCATGAAAGCAAAGACAATTTAGAAGGTCAGTGGGAAAAATCTGTTTCTGTGGTGCTGAGAGAGGAACTAGTTCTCAGAGCCAGATGCAGAGCACAGAGTGCAGAGTGCCAGGGCGGTGGCTGCCTCCTGAGCTTCCAGCCCACAGACTGAGGGGGAATCCAGTGGCTGATCAGAGAGGGATTGCAAGGATCCCTTTGCCAGTGCTGAGGTAGGAATCTCTTGCTTTGCCTGTGCTTGGATCTGGGTCACAGTTCCGGGCAGTGGTCCTGGGGCGAGGAGGAGTGCTGGCATGGTGGAGCTTGTAATAGCTGTGAAGAGAAAATCTTCCTCACAGTTGCAGGACAGAAAGGAGTGCTTGTGGTCACTGATAGACCAGAGCACAGACCAGGAAAGGAGTAAACACCTCGCCCCTTATCATACCACCTTGGAAAAACTGAAAATTTACAGGTCTCTACAAGTATCTCTGAAAACAGCTGTACAAACCCCCGAAGTTTGGGACAGTACATTCTCCACATTGGAAGTAGACTCTTACCTCAACAAAGAGTTTAAAACTTAAGTAATTAGCTGGGGCCAAGAGCAAGCAGTGCAAAAAGAGTCAGACT